AAGTAATTGGGAAAATATGACCTGATTTAGATTGTTTGAAATTCGGTTGAAATTTAATCATTTCTGTTCAAGTGTATACATCAGATTGTTTTGAATAGCCACCAACTTGTGATAATTTGACGCACACATTAATTTCGAAAATAATGATTATATCATTAAACCGTCTTCATTACTGATTAAAATAAAGATTTAAAATGAAAATAGTTAATGATATATAGTCAAAAAGAGCAATTGACAAATGATGTTGGCTGCCATTAATGCCAGTTTTTTCTTTCTAAATATTTTGAAAAAAGTTTTATTTTTTAAATAAGCAAACTTTATTAAAAGTTTTATATTTGGTTTGATATTTTTGAACTGTCTTTTTTTTTTGCTCACTGTTGAATATATGTAAATTTTATTTGAGTTTATCAGCATCTGTCTATAAATAATTTTGTTTTTTGATTCAGATGCTATGAAGAAGATGTTTACAGCAAAGACCCCGAAAATGGAGCCATTGACGAAGACCAGGAAAAGAAAATTAAAGGAAAGTATATTTAATTTTAGTCTAATTATAATTTTAGTTCTATTACAGTAGCAGGCCTTACCAAGTTCCAGTCAGTCACAGAACATGAAGATTGTTTCATTGAAGATAGGAAATGAGTAGCATGTAAGTATTTGGCTATACAATTGTACTTAAAACTATGTTCATATTTGTTAGGTCATTAAAATCAGTTTTTCCCTGGAAATTTACATATTCATCTGCATTTTTCTACAAGTAATTGGGAAAATATGACCTGATTTAGATTGTTTGAAATTCGGTTGAAATTTAATCATTTCTGTTCAAGTGTATACATCAGATTGTTTTGAATAGCCACCAACTTGTGATAATTTGACGCACACATTAATTTCGAAAATAATGATTATATCATTAAACCGTCTTCATTACTGATTAAAATAAAGATTTAAAATGAAAATAGTTAATGATATATAGTCAAAAAGAGCAATTGACCAATGATGTTGGCTGCCATTAATGCCAGTTTTTTCTTTCTAAATATTTTGAAAAAAGTTTTATTTTTTAAATAAGCAAACTTTATTAAAAGTTTTATATTTGGTTTGATATTTTTGAACTGTCTTTTTTTTTTGCTCACTGTTGAATATATGTAAATTTTATTTGAGTTTATCAGCATCTGTCTATAAATAATTTTGTTTTTTGATTCAGATGCTATGAAGAAGATGTTTACAGCAAAGACCCCGAAAATGGAGCCATTGACGAAGACCAGGAAAAGAAAATTAAAGGAAAGTATATTTAATTTTAGTCTAATTATAATTTTAGTTCTATTACAGTAGCAGGCCTTACCAAGTTCCAGTCAGTCACAGAACATGAAGATTGTTTCATTGAAGATAGGAAATGAGTAGCATGTAAGTATTTGGCTATACAATTGTACTTAAAACTATGTTCATATTTGTTAGGTCATTAAAATCAGTTTTTCCCTGGAAATTTACATATTCATCTGCATTTTTCTACAAGTAATTGGGAAAATATGACCTGATTTAGATTGTTTGAAATTCGGTTGAAATTTAATCATTTCTGTTCAAGTGTATACATCAGATTGTTTTGAATAGCCACCAACTTGTGATAATTTGACGCACACATTAATTTCGAAAATAATGATTATATCATTAAACCGTCTTCATTACTGATTAAAATAAAGATTTAAAATGAAAATAGTTAATGATATATAGTCAAAAAGAGCAATTGACCAATGATGTTGGCTGCCATTAATGCCAGTTTTTTCTTTCTAAATATTTTGAAAAAAGTTTTATTTTTTAAATAAGCAAACTTTATTAAAAGTTTTATATTTGGTTTGATATTTTTGAACTGTCTTTTTTTTTTTTTTGCTCACTGTTGAATATATGTAAATTTTATTTGAGTTTATCAGCATCTGTCTATAAATAATTTTGTTTTTTGATTCAGATGCTATGAAGAAGATGTTTACAGCAAAGACCCCGAAAATGGAGCCATTCACGAAGACCAGGAAAAGAAAATTAAAGGAAAGTATATTTAATTTTAGTCTAATTATAATTTTAGTTCTATTACAGTAGCAGGCCTTACCAAGTTCCAGTCAGTCACAGAACATGAAGATTGTTTCATTGAAGATAGGAAATGAGTAGCATGTAAGTATTTGGCTATACAATTGTACTTAAAACTATGTTCATATTTGTTAGGTCATTAAAATCAGTTTTTCCCTGGAAATTTACATATTCATCTGCATTTTTCTACAAGTAATTGGGAAAATATGACCTGATTTAGATTGTTTGAAATTCGGTTGAAATTTAATCATTTCTGTTCAAGTGTATACATCAGATTGTTTTGAATAGCCACCAACTTGTGATAATTTGACGCACACATTAATTTCTAAAATAATGATTATATCATTAAACCGTCTTCATTACTGATTAAAATAAAGATTTAAAATGAAAATAGTTAATGATATATAGTCAAAAAGAGCAATTGACCAATGATGTTGGCTGCCATTAATGCCAGTTTTTTCTTTCTAAATATTTTGAAAAAAGTTTTATTTTTTAAATAAGCAAACTTTATTAAAAGTTTTATATTTGGTTTGATATTTTTGAACTGTCTTTTTTTTTTTTGCTCACTGTTGAATATATGTAAATTTTATTTGAGTTTATCAGCATCTGTCTATAAATAATTTTGTTTTTTGATTCAGATGCTATGAAGAAGATGTTTACAGCAAAGACCCCGAAAATGGAGCCATTGACGAAGACCAGGAAAAGAAAATTAAAGGAAAGTATATTTAATTTTAGTCTAATTATAATTTTAGTTCTATTACAGTAGCAGGCCTTACCAAGTTCCAGTCAGTCACAGAACATGAAGATTGTTTCATTGAAGATAGGAAATGAGTAGCATGTAAGTATTTGGCTATACAATTGTACTTAAAACTATGTTCATATTTGTTAGGTCATTAAAATCAGTTTTTCCCTGGAAATTTACATATTCATCTGCATTTTTCTACAAGTAATTGGGAAAATATGACCTGATTTAGATTGTTTGAAATTCGGTTGAAATTTAATCATTTCTGTTCAAGTGTATACATCAGATTGTTTTGAATAGCCACCAACTTGTGATAATTTGACGCACACATTAATTTCGAAAATAATGATTATATCATTAAACCGTCTTCATTACTGATTAAAATAAAGATTTAAAATGAAAATAGTTAATGATATATAGTCAAAAAGAGCAATTGACCAATGATGTTGGCTGCCATTAATGCCAGTTTTTTCTTTCTAAATATTTTGAAAAAAGTTTTATTTTTTAAATAAGCAAACTTTATTTAAAAGTTTTATATTTGGTTTGATATTTTTGAACTGTCTTTTTTTTTTGCTCACTGTTGAATATATGTAAATTTTATTTGAGTTTATCAGCATCTGTCTATAAATAATTTTGTTTTTTGATTCAGATGCTATGAAGAAGATGTTTACAGCAAAGACCCCGAAAATGGAGCCATTGACGAAGACCAGGAAAAGAAAATTAAAGGAAAGTATATTTAATTTTAGTCTAATTATAATTTTAGTTCTATTACAGTAGCAGGCCTTACCAAGTTCCAGTCAGTCACAGAACATGAAGATTGTTTCATTGAAGATAGGAAATGAGTAGCATGTAAGTATTTGGCTATACAATTGTACTTAAAACTATGTTCATATTTGTTAGGTCATTAAAATCAGTTTTTCCCTGGAAATTTACATATTCATCTGCATTTTTCTACAAGTAATTGGGAAAATATGACCTGATTTAGATTGTTTGAAATTCGGTTGAAATTTAATCATTTCTGTTCAAGTGTATACATCAGATTGTTTTGAATAGCCACCAACTTGTGATAATTTGACGCACACATTAATTTCGAAAATAATGATTATATCATTAAACCGTCTTCATTACTGATTAAAATAAAGATTTAAAATGAAAATAGTTAATGATATATAGTCAAAAAGAGCAATTGACCAATGATGTTGGCTGCCATTAATGCCAGTTTTTTCTTTCTAAATATTTTGAAAAAAGTTTTATTTTTTAAATAAGCAAACTTTATTAAAAGTTTTATATTTGGTTTGATATTTTTGAACTGTCTTTTTTTTTTGCTCACTGTTGAATATATGTAAATTTTATTTGAGTTTATCAGCATCTGTCTATAAATAATTTTGTTTTTTGATTCAGATGCTATGAAGAAGATGTTTACAGCAAAGACCCCGAAAATGGAGCCATTGACGAAGACCAGGAAAAGAAAATTAAAGGAAAGTATATTTAATTTTAGTCTAATTATAATTTTAGTTCTATTACAGTAGCAGGCCTTACCAAGTTCCAGTCAGTCACAGAACATGAAGATTGTTTCATTGAAGATAGGAAATGAGTAGCATGTAAGTATTTGGCTATACAATTGTACTTAAAACTATGTTCATATTTGTTAGGTCATTAAAATCAGTTTTTCCCTGGAAATTTACATATTCATCTGCATTTTTCTACAAGTAATTGGGAAAATATGACCTGATTTAGATTGTTTGAAATTCGGTTGAAATTTAATCATTTCTGTTCAAGTGTATACATCAGATTGTTTTGAATAGCCACCAACTTGTGATAATTTGACGCACACATTAATTTCGAAAATAATGATTATATCATTAAACCGTCTTCATTACTGATTAAAATAAAGATTTAAAATGAAAATAGTTAATGATATATAGTCAAAAAGAGCAATTGACCAATGATGTTGGCTGCCATTAATGCCAGTTTTTTCTTTCTAAATATTTTGAAAAAAGTTTTATTTTTTAAATAAGCAAACTTTATTAAAAGTTTTATATTTGGTTTGATATTTTTGAACTTTTTTTTTTTTTTTGCTCACTGTTGAATATATGTAAATTTTATTTGAGTTTATCAGCATCTGTCTATAAATAATTTTGTTTTTTGATTCAGATGCTATGAAGAAGATGTTTACAGCAAAGACCCCGAAAATGGAGCCATTGACGAAGACCAGGAAAAGAAAATTAAAGGAAAGTATATTTAATTTTAGTCTAATTATAATTTTAGTTCTATTACAGTAGCAGGCCTTACCAAGTTCCAGTCAGTCACAGAACATGAAGATTGTTTCATTGAAGATAGGAAATGAGTAGCATGTAAGTATTTGGCTATACAATTGTACTTAAAACTATGTTCATATTTGTTAGGTCATTAAAATCAGTTTTTCCCTGAAAATTTACATATTCATCTGCATTTTTCTACAAGTGATTGGGAAAATATGACCTGATTTTGGGAAAATATGACCTGATTTAGATTGTTTGAAATTCAGTTGAATTTTAATCATTTCTGTTCAAGTGTATACTTCAGATTGTTTTGAATAGCCACCAACTTGTGATAATTTGACGCACACATTAATCTCGAAAATAATGATTATATCGTTAAACCGATATTACTGATTAAAATAAAGATTTGAAATGAAAATAGTTAATGATATATAGTCAAAAAGAGCAATTGACCAATGATGTTGGCTGCCATTAATGCCAGTTTTTTCTTTCTAAATATTTTGAAAAAAGTTTTATTTTTTAAATAAGCAAACATCATTAAAAGTTTTATATTTGGTTTGATATTTTTGAACTGTCTTTTTTTTTGGCTCACTGTTGAATATATGTAAATTTTATTTGAGTTTATTAGCATCTGTCTATAAATAATTTTGTTTTTGTTTCAGATACTATGAAGAAGATGTTAACAGCAAAGACCCGAAAATGGAGCCATTGACGAAGACCAGGACAAGATGCTTAAAGTAGCAGGCCTTACCAAGTTTCAGTCGCAGAAGATGAAGATTATTTCATTGAAAATTGGAGATAAATAACATGTAAGTATTTGGTTATTACAATTGTACTTTAAACTATGATAATATTTGTTAGGTATTTAAAATCAGTTTTCTCCTGGAAAAACTGCTTGAAATTTCATTACAAAATGGTCCAAAATTTCTTTGTCAAATTTATACTCTTATGAAATATATTTTAATAAGAATGTATTGTAATATTAAATATACTTATACCCCAATTTAGGATTTGACATAAAACATTCATCACACTAATTTCTGAAATAATTATTACAAGAAATAGTCGCTTAACATTGACAATTTGGATATATACATATTTATCTGCATTTTTTTTTAAGTATTTATGAAAAATATGACCTGATTTAGATTGTTTGAAATTCAGTTAATTTTTAATTATTTCTGTTCAAAATGTACACATCAGATTGTTTTCTTTAACTTATCTACCATTTTCTGATAATTCGAAGCACACATTAATTTTTGAAATAATTATTATATCATTTAACTGTCTTCATTACTATTTAAAATGAAAATAATGAATGATATATAGTCTAAAAGGGCAATTGACCAATGATGTTCGCTGCCATTAATGCCAGTTTTTTCTTTCTATATTGAAGCTCCAAGGAAGATTAATTATTACATTAATCTTCACCCAAGTCTGAGGCCATGACATGAAAGAAATAACGTAAGTATATTTAAGCCAACCAATTTCTGCACATTATCTAGAAAAATGTGATAAAGTACATAAGGCAACACACATTTTTCTTATTTTGCACATTTACAACACAGAAGTAGATAATTTATCAGTTTGACAAATGTTTTCCAGGTACACAAATAAAATTTTATAACGTGAAAAGTAAATCCTGAGATAGAATTTTATCCTTCAAGGGGAGACTAGTACAATAAACAGCAAGAATGTTTCTTTCAGTGGGAGATAACTCACTATTATTCAATTAGAATACAGAATTTTTAAAAAAATTTAGGTTGGCAATTTAACAGATTTGTAAAATATATAATTTGTCTCAATTCTAATTCCTTTTTAGGTTATATTAGTGCCAATGTTTTCATGAATGGGGAGTAAGACTTGGTGGTATAATATTTCTAATATACAAGTAGGTATATAATTCCTCTATTTAAACAAAGGAGAAGGTCTGGTAAGGGCTCGTTTTGGCCTAATATTCGAAGTACATCTAATGAAAGATTTTTGACATTTTTTAAACACACAAGTGTCTACTTCAGTCAATCAATTAGTGTATGTAAAAGATTTGGACTGATTTGGTCATTAAAGATGCTCAAATAGAGGCTTAAATACGAAAAATCTATCAAATAATCCATAAAATGTCACTTTTCAGAAGGTTTTTGTCTAAAATGAAAGTGGCTGCATTCGTGTTCAGTCTCAACCTTTTTATATGTTATGTATTATCATCAAATACAACATATATTTAAATATTAAGACAGAACACAAATGCGGCCACTTCCTTTTTAGACAAAAACCACCATAAAATTAGCACAAATGCTAAAATTGTGAAGATTTCTGTAATATTGCATGAATTTCTGATGTTATTACCCGATGCATGTGCATTGTATTGTCAAAATCGGCCCATATTAATGGAACAGAAGTTTTCTTCTTTGCAATAAATAGCTAAAAGTTTACACTTTAACAAATTTGTAAAAATGCTATATTTTGGGGCCAAAAAGGGGTCTTACCAGGCCTACTCCTTTTATTATTATAAAATAAGTTTAAAGGAAATAAAATGTGCTCAAGGCTTAAAGTTGTAAGAGGTAAAATGTTGTTTTTTTCTTGACTAAATGTTCTAAAGATTTGAATTGGTTACATGGATGTCATTGTAAAGACTTAATTTTTGTATGCAGACTTTGGCAAAACCACGAAATGAAGTACCCACAAAAATACAATTGTTCCTTAATATAAAATAAATTGGTGCCCAAGAAAATAAATAAATCCACAATAATATGCAAGCAATATAATTGTACTTAAAACTATGTTCATATTTGTTAGGTCATTAAAATCAGTTTTTCCCTGGAAATTTACATATTCATCTGCATTTTTCATTTAGTAATTGGGGAAAATATGACCTGATTTAGATTGTTTGAAATTCAGTTGAATTTTAATCATTTCTGTTCAAGTGTAAACATCAGATTGTTTTGAATAGCCACCAACTTGTGATCATTTGACGCACACATTAATTTCGAAAATAATGATTATATCATTAAACCGTCTTCATTACTGATTAAAATAAAGATTTAAACGAAAATAGTTAATGATATATAGTCAAAAAGAGCAATTGACTAATGATGTTGGCTGCCATTAATGCAAGTTTTTTCTTTCTAAATATTTTGAAAAAAGTTTTATTTTTTAAATAAGCAAACTTTATTAAAAGTTTTATATTTGGTTTGATATTTTTGAACTGTTTTGGTTTTTTTTTTGGCTCACTGTTGAATATATGTATATTTTATTTGAGTTTACCAGCAGCTGTCTAAAATAATTTTGTTTTTGTTTCAGATACTATGAAGAAGATGTTTACAGCAAAGACCCTGAAAATAGAGCCATTGGCGAAGACCAGGACAAGATGCTTAAAGTAGCAGGCCTTACCAAGTTTCAGTCGCAGAAGATGAAGATTATTTCATTGAAAATTGGAGATAAATAACATGTAAGTATTTGGTTATTACAATTGTACTTTAAACTATGATAATATTTGTTAGGTATTTAAAATCAGTTTTCTCCTGGAAAAACTGCTTGAAATTTCATTACAAAAGGGTCCAAAATTTCTTTGTCAAATTTATACTCTTATGAAATATATTTTAATAAGAATGTATTGTAATATTAAATATACTTATACCCCAATTTAGGATTTGACATAAAACATGCATCACATTAATTTCTGAAATAATTATTACAACAAATAGTCGCTTAACATTGCCAATTTGGATATATACATATTTATCTGCATTTTTTTTTTTAAGTAATTGGGAAAATATGGCTTGATTTAGATTGTTTTCTGTTCAAAATGTACACATCAGATTGTTTTGGTTAACTTAGCCACCATTTTCTGATAATTCGAAGCACACATTAATTTTGGAAATAATTATTATATCATTTAACTGTCTTCATTACTATTTAAAATGAAAATAATGAATGATATATAGTCTAAAAGGGCGATTGACCAATGATGTTCGCTGCCATTAATGCCAGTTTTTTCTTTCTATATATTGAAGCTCCAAGGAAGATTAATTATTACATTAATCTTCACCCAAGTCTGAGGCCATGACATGAAAGAAATAACGTAAGTATATTTAAGCCAACCAATTTCTGCACATTATCTAGAAAAATGTGATAAAGTACATAAGGCAACACACATTTTTCTTATTTTGCACATTTACAACACAGAAGTAGATAATTTATCAGTTTGACAAATGTTTTCCAGGTACACAAATAAAATTTTATAACGTGAAAAGTAAATCCTGAGATAGAATTTAATCCTTCAAGGGGAGACTAGTACAATAAACAGCAAGAATGTTTCTTTCAGTGGGAGATAACTCACTATTATGCAATTAGAATACAGAATTTAAAAAAAAATTTAGGTTGGCAATTTAACAGATTTGTAAAATATATAATTTGTCTCAATTCTAATTCCTTTTTAGGTTATATTAGTGCCAATGTTTTCATGAATGGGGAGTAAGACTTGGTGGTATAATATTTCTAATATACAAGTAGGTATATAATTCCTCTATTTAAACAAAGGAGAAGGTCTGGTAAGGGCTCGTTTTGGCCTAATATTAGAAGTACATCTAATGAAAGATTTTTGACATTTTTTAAACACACAAGTGTCTACTTCAGTCAATCAATTAGTGTATGTAAAAGATTTGGACTGATTTGGTCATTAAAGATGCTCAAATAGAGGCTTAAATACGAAAAATCTATCAAATAATCCATAAAATTTATTTTCAGAAGGTTTCTGTCTAAAATGAAAGTGGCCGCATTCGTGTTCAGTCTCAACCTTTTTATATGTTATGTATTATCATCAAATACAACATATATTTAAATATTAAGACGGATTACAAATGCGGCCACTTCCATTTTAGACAAAAACCACCATAAAATTAGCACAAATGCTAAAATTGTGAAGATTTCTGTAATATTGCATGAATTTCTGATGTTATTACCCGATGCATGTGCATTGTATTGTCAAAATTGGCCCATATTAATGGAACAGAAGTTTTCTTCTTTGCAATAAATAGCTAAAAGTTTACACTTTAACAAATTTGTAAAAATGCTATATTTTGGGGCCAAAAAGGGGTCTTACCAGGCCTACTCCTTTTATTATTATAAAATAAGTTTAAAGGAAATAAAATGTGCTCAAGGCTTAAAGTTGTAAGAGGTAAAATGTTGTTTTTTTCTTGACTAAATGTTCTAAAGATTTGAATTGGTTACATGGATGTCATTGTAAAGACTTAATTTTTGTATGCAGACTTTGGCAAAACCACGAAATGAAGTACCCACAAAAATACAATTGTTCCTTAATATAAAATAAATTGGTGCCCAAGAAAATAAATAAATCCACAATAATATGCAAGCAATATAATTGTACTTAAAACTATGTTCATATTTGTTAGGTCATTAAAATCAGTTTTTCCCTGGAAATTTACATATTCATCTGCATTTTTCATTTAGTAATTGGGGAAAATATGACCTGATTTAGATTGTTTGAAATTCAGTTGAATTTTAATCATTTCTGTTCAAGTGTAAACATCAGATTGTTTTGAATAGCCACCAACTTGTGATCATTTGACGCACACATTAATTTCGAAAATAATGATTATATCATTAAACCGTCTTCATTACTGATTAAAATAAAGATTTAAACAAAAATAGTTAATGATATATAGTCAAAAAGAGCAATTGACTAATGATGTTGGCTGCCATTAATGCAAGTTTTTTCTTTCTAAATATTTTGAAAAAAGTTTTATTTTTTAAATAAGCAAACTTTATTAAAAGTTTTATATTTGGTTTGATATTTTTGAACTGTTTTGGTTTTTATTTGGCTCAATGTTGAATATATGTATATTTTATTTGAGTTTACCAGCAGCTGTCTAAAATAATTTTGTTTTTGTTTCAGATACTATGAAGAAGATGTTTACAGCAAAGACCCTGAAAATAGAGCCATTGGTGAAGACCAGGACAAGATGCTTAAAGTAGCAGGCCTTACCAAGTTTCAGTCGCAGAAGATGAAGATTATTTCATTGAAAATTGGAGATAAATAACATGTAAGTATTTGGTTATTACAATTGTACTTTAAACTATGATAATATTTGTTAGGTATTTAAAATCAGTTTTCTCCTGGTAAAACTGCTTGAAATTTCATTACAAAATGGTCCAAAATTTCTTTGTCAAATTTATACTCTTATAAAATATATTTTAATAAGAATGTATTGTAATATTAAATATATTTATACCCCAATTTAGGATTTGACATAAAACATGCATCACATTAATTTCTGAAATAATTATTACAACAAATAGTCGCTTAACATTGACAATTTGGATATATACATATTTATCTGCATTTTTTTTTTAAGTAATTGGGAAAATATGGCTTGATTTAGATTGTTTTCTGTTCAAAATGTACACATCAGATTGTTTTGGTTAACTTAGCCACCATTTTCTGATAATTCGAAGCACACATTAATTTTGGAAATAATTATTATATCATTTAACTGTCTTCATTACTATTTAAAATGAAAATAATGAATGATATATAGTCTAAAAGGGCAATTGACCAATGATGTTCGCTGCCATTAATGCCAGTTTTTTCTTTCTATATTGAAGCTCCAAGGAAGATTAATTATTACATTAATCTTCACCCAAGTCTGAGGCCATGACATGAAAGAAATAACGTAAGTATATTTAAGCCAACCAATTTCTGCACATTATCTAGAAAAATGTGATAAAGTACATAAGGCAACACACATTTTTCTTATTTTGCACATTTACAACACAGAAATAGATAATTTATCAGTTTGACAAATGTTTTCCAGGTACACAAATAAAATTTTATAACGTGAAAAGTAAATCCTGAGATAGAATTTAATCCTTCAAGGGGAGACTAGTACAATAAACAGCAAGAATGTTTCTTTCAGTGGGAGATAACTCACTATTATGCAATTAGTTTTTCTTATTTTGCACATTTACAACACAGAAATAGATAATTTATCAGTTTGACAAATGTTTTCCAGGTACACAAATAAAATTTTATAACGTGAAAAGTAAATCCTGAGATAGAATTTTATCCTTCAAGGAGAGACTAGTACAATAAACAGCAAGAATGTTTCTTTCAGTGGGAGATAACTCACTATTATGCAATTAGAATACAGAATTTAAAAAAAAATTTAGGTTGGCAATTTAACAGATTTGTAAAATATATAATTTGTGTCAATTCTAATTCCTTTTTAGGTTATATTAGTGCCAATGTTTTCATGAATGGGGAGTAAGACTTGGTGGTATAATATTTCTAATATACAAGTAGGTATATAATTCCTCTATTTAAACAAAGAAGGTCTGGTAAGGGCTCGTTTTGGCCTAATATTCGAAGTACATCTAATGAAAGATTTTTGACATTTTTTAAACACGCAAGTGTCTACTTCAGTCGATTCAATTAGTGTATGTAAAAGATTTGGACTGATTTGGTCATTAAAGACACTCAAATAGAGGCTAAAATACGAAAAATCTATCAAATAATCCATAAAATGTCACTTTTCAGATGGTTTTTGTCTAAAATGAAAGTGGATGCAATTGTGTTCAGTCTCAACCTTTATATATGTTATGTATTATCATCAAGTACAACATATATTTAAATATTAAGACGGAACACAAATGCGGGCACTTCCATTTAAGACAAAAACCACCGTAAAATTAGCACAAATGCTAAAATTGTGAAGATTTCAGTAATATTGCATGGATTTTCTGATGTTATTACCCAATGCATGTGCATTGTATTGACAAAATCAGCCCATATTAATGGAACAGAAGTATTCTTCTTTGCAATAAATAGCTAAAAGTTTACATTTTAACAAATTTGTAAAAATGCTATATTTTAGGGCCAAAAAGGGGTCTTACCAGGCCTACTCCTTTTATTATTGTAAAATAAGTTTAAATGAAATAAAATGTGCTCAAGGCTTAAAGTTGTAAGAGGTAAAATGTTGTTTTTTTCTTGACTAAATGTTCTAAAGATTTGAATTGGTTACATAGATGTCATTGTAAAGACTTAATTTTTGTATGCAGACTTTGGCAAAACCACGAAAAGAAGTACCCACAAAAATACAATTGTTCCTTAATATAAAATAAAATGGTGCCCAAGAAAATAAATAAATCCACAATAATATGCAAGCAATATTCCAACACCGATTCTATTTATTTTTTAAGAATTTTTATTGACTAAGCATTTTACTTTTTCAGGCTAGCAATAATTACTGCTTTTCAGTATGGGTTGAGGTTTAGAATGATCATTGGAGCTGACTTTTAAGGTAAGAAAGAACCATTGCATAGATTTATGAACTTGTTGATTACAGATTATGTAAATGCCCTTGAATTTTGTTACGCCTGTGAGTTTTTATGACAGAAGCCTGGCATGGGGTCCAAGTGTGAAGTGGGATTGGCCGATTTTTTATAACCGTGACATGGGAAAGGGAAAGTATTGTGCGGGAAACAGTTTGGGAGTAGACATGAAATTACAAGGGTTATTATTACAATGATAAGCGGGATATGGGATTAGACGGAAAGCCTTCATACTTGGTCAAATTGTTTTCCATCGTGTAGTTGACCATAATATACCACTATTTTGATTCGACTATTATTAAAGAAGTGATGGGATGTTGATTGCAATTTTAAGTATTATGACCATAAAACACCTGAACACCACAACTCTTGAGACTCTTACAGAAAGCTCCCATACGTAATGGGATTGTTTCCCATCATGTATAGTTATAAAAATATGGAGATGTGGTATGATTGCCAACGAGACAACTGTCCACCAAAGTTCAAATGAAGTGGATGAAAGCAATTATAGGCAACGGTACGGCCTTCAACAATAAGAAAAATCCCATACCGTATGGTCGCCTAAAAAAGGCCATATACCATTATTTAGACCTGGCCATTTCTATGGGACTTTGACTATTTATTTTGAGTATTGTAACAGTGTCACCTTATGAATGCAACTCCTAAGACCATTTGACAGAAAGCTCTCAAACTTGGTAGGATTGTTTGCCATTGTGAGTTGTTAACAAGAAGAGAAAAGATTTCTGCACAAATGCGGGAAACTAAAAAAGTTAATTATTTTGATTACATTTGTATATTTATTTTTATATTTATTTTTTGTTTTATTGATTTTTCCACTGTTATTGGGGACAAAGTCCTCATATAAATGTTTAAAAGATTTGAATTGATTACATAGAAGTCATATTTGTTTGTGTTGTTGGGTTTCGTCACATTGATGTGTTCTCTGCATCGTCTTTTACCTTGATATGCTATATATCACCTATTTCTATATAATGAACATAAGTATAGCAACAAAGATTCTTTTCTAACTATTTTGAATGACTAAGCATTATATATTTCAGGTTAGCATTACAGCTTGTCCTTACAGATTGATGTTGGAAATGGCCATTGGAGTTGAATTTTAAAGGTAAGAAAGAACTATTATATAGATTTATAAACTTTTTTATTTAAGATCTTGTAAATTCCCATGGTTTTTATAATCTTATTACAATTTAATGTTTTCTGGAAGGACATGTCAAGTTTAAGGAAGGGAAAAATGATTATTTTGGAAAGTTTCTCTCCTTTAATTGTAATTCCCAGTTTGCTATTTGTTGCCTATTTCAGTTTCTTAAAATATGACAGAAAATTGAAAAGTGTCTATTTCTTTTTCAGATAACTATTACTGTGGCTGAAGGATATAATTGTTTGATTAATTCTCCGTATCCCTCAGAGTTGTTGCAAAGGTTATTAACATGTATGCAGCTTGGCACTCTACACAAGGCATTGGATTTAACGTCCCCATTCTGACCGGACATGGCTGCGAATTCATACATCCTGCACTTCCAAACAGAAGCCCCACTGCCAGTCTGAAGAAGACCAAGCGTGACCATATTTCTATTCCCCAGTCATCCTTTGGGGTCTTTCTAACTTGAAGGAAAGGTTTCCAATAGGAATGGTTCATATAACTCTTGTTAAAACCAGTTAAAGAATGTATTTGATAAATTCTAAATCAGAACTAAAACTACAGAAGAGTACAAAATCCGCAAGTGATAATTTGCATTTCACAATTTGTGAAGCTAATTGGAAGCACGTACCGTCTGTCGTTGCAAAGCCATTTGGGAGCATCTCTGTCGGGTGAACCTGATTGGAAGTAGTACTTCTGGCAGACCAAAGCCAATTAGAAAGCATGTAACTCTGGGTGAAGCCAACTTGGAAGCAGTAACCTCTGGAAAGTTGATTTAACACATTATTAATACACAAATTTTATTTAACATTCTTTTTAAAGTTTACTTTCATATCATCTTTTATTTTCTATTTATAATTACTCACCTTGTTGACATTGCGACATGCAAATTATCACTTCACCATTTTTTTACTAGCCTATGGTTTTTATTCTGATGAAGGTGCACTAGGAACCGAAACATGTAGTCAGAGTTTCAAATTTATATATTTGAATATGATAATGTATTTTGTTTTGTTAAGTATATTATAAAATTTTGAACCGACACCAGTTTTTTTAAGCTTATAGAAAAGTCCTAGGTGCCATACAGAGTCAAATGCACGTTTAATGTCTACAAAATATGCATATAATGGTTGGGATTTATTTCTGATGTATTTTTTGTATAAGAGTATTTATTACAAACATATGATCAGATGTACTACATCCTCTTTTAAATCCAATTTGCTCTTTACAAATGAGTTTTTTCTTCTCAAAAAATGCTGTCAGTCTATTATTTAATATTCTGTTAAAAAGTTGACCGATAGTGTCACTTATTGTTATACCTCTATAGTTTGAAGGATCATTATATTGACCCCTTTTTATGTCTAGTTGAAATGTTCCCTTTGACCATATTTTAGGATAGATTTCTGCGGAAAAAAATCTATTAAAAGCTTTTAAAAATAGTGGGTTAAAAATTGATTGGCATTATTTAATCATTTCATTTAGTATCATATTTAATCCACAGGATTTGCCATTCTTTAAAGATTTAATAGCTTTTAGTCGTTCAGACTCTATGATGAAATTCATTAAAAATATTAGTTTTTTCTAAATTATTAAGCTCCTGTAGAATTGATTCATTTTCAGCAATTGTATTTTTATTTAGGGATTTAAAATGATTCTCCCAATCTTCCAAACTGATATTTGTTTCCTTTTTATCATTGTTATTTCCTTTTAATTTTTCAACTAATTTCCAATAGTCTTTAGGATTTTCATTTTGAGGATTATCTAGCTTATTAACCAAATCACTCTTGAACTTGCTCATTTTATCTGTTCTCGTTTTTCTGTAATATTTTAGGCATTTAAAATATGACCCTCTAATGTATGGGTCATTGCTTTACTTTTGTAATAGATTGCATTTATGATCTAGTTCGATCTTGTTTTATTTTCTTAAGACTGTAATCATACCATAACTAATGCTTTCTGTTATTAACTTTCTTTTAATATTTTTTCATAGTTTTCTTTTTTAAGGCTAAGTCGCCTGCAGTTATAATGATTTTATTTAGGTTTTTTATCATAAAAAATTTATGCTTATGAGTTATATTCATGTATGTTGTTTTTAATAATAAAAAATTCCCAAGGCATATAAGTGTAACGGGAATAGATTGTCTTCATGCACATGTGTAATACATGTAAGCATAGGAATTTTAGCACCAAAAATTAGGTTGTAAAGTGAACTGAAATTTGTACTGTTAACATTGTATTTTTTTTAAGGATCTTTAAGAGAACAAAGATTTGCATAATTTTGTATTTTGATAAATTAATTTTTCATGTAGGTGGAATGGCTATACAAACGTAATCGTATTTCGACTTTTGTACAAATTTTTTTATAGCTGTAGTCCTAATGACAAGATTTTTTTTTACTTGCATATTTACAAACAAAATTATGTTTTCTTTTTCTTGTTTCCCTGAGTGAGGTCCTACACTTAGACTTTCGCTGGCATTGACAAAAGGACACAGGTTTCCTAAAATGGGTTTTTCCTGGTCGGCCACGGAACATTGAAATGTAGTTATTCAGTTTTTCAAATGCAAAAGGTTGAAATGAGATTATTCAGTTTTTCAAATGCAAAAGGTTGACATGAGATTATTCAGTTTTTCAAATGCAAAAGATTGACATGAGATTATTTTTCTAGTATAAGTTATTGAATTCATATTGTATAATGTATAGTGTGTAATTTGTCTTATTAAATCGGCAGCTCACAATATGCAGTTCACGAGCTAGTCAACAAACAAAAGTTTGTGTTGTGTTTTTCTTTAAGTAGTTAGGTTAAATGTATTTAGTGGAAAGAAGACTTATTAAGATCCTATGTCCTTCAAGCTGTCTGGGTTATTGGCAGTATGAATATATAAAAATAAGATGTGGTGTGATTGCCAATTAGACAACACTCCACAAGAGACCAAATGACATAGAAATTAACAACTACAGGTCACTGTATGGCCTTCAACAATGAGCAAAACCCATACCGCATAGTATAAAAGGCCCCGAAATGACAAATGTAAAATAATTGAAACATTTGTTTTGTTGAGCCTATTTATTTGAGGGAAAGAAGTTATGGTTTTTCCGTTCAAAAGAAATGTGCCCAAAGATACCTTTAAAATTTGGTTTTCTGGTACTGACTATACTGCTTGAGAACAAACACTTCAAAAAAAAAAAAAAAAATGTCATGGACCATGAAGTGCAGGTCAAATTAGATTTTGATGTTTTTTTCACATTTCCCATTCAATAGTAATGCCCTAAGTTTACCATAAAAAAAATGGTATTTCTTTAATTTCTGGATAATTATAGAACCATTTGACCAAATTGATGCTTTGAAATTGTACACAATATCATAGATCATCAAATACAGTTCAAGGTTCATTTTAATGTTTTTCTGCAAGCAACTAGGTGTATCTGATCACTAGATATCTTAAATATAGTTTGAATCTGGATGGCAAATGCAGGTCACAGGAAAGAGGTTTCTGAAGGGTGTTTCACAGGATTTAATTTCAATCACTTGGTTACCTTAAGTGTGTGATTATTTTATTTCAGATCCAGGATTATAGGATCAGACAAGTTTTACAAACTTGTGAACCATTGTACATTTTTTTCAAAGCACACAATTAGTACATTTAGTTTAAAATATTTTTTTTTAATTCCTTTTGGGTCTGTTAATGCTCCTTCATGCTACACTGTGCTCTGTACACAAATGGATTTTTTGCAGTGCTTTTAGAGGTCAGTTTGTATATGTGGTTTCACATGTGCTAATTTGGAGGTATAGATTGTGTAGTCCATTTGAATGGGGACATATAGTTTGAACCCCCCCCCCCTCCCCTTATCCTGGGTTGGGAACCCCTCCTTTTAAAAATGGCTGGATCCGCCCCTGACGTGGCTACCCTTGTTGTAAACTTTAAAAAAAAATCTCGTGTGAAACTACTATAAGGCCAGATTTTTTTTTTTTTAATCAGGCCAAAATACTACAAATTTCACATAGAAATAGTTGGGATAACTATTAATACAAAATAACTTCTTTTTGGCACATCACATTAAAAAAGAAAGGAATGACCCCTCAAATATACATTATTTGTGTTGTAATGTCAGTTTTGGTCAAATTTTCAATAATTCTTGACAGCTTTTTTCTCGTCTTGACAAAGTATAAAAAAAAACAGACTTGGGTGTACTGTTCCTGACTGTGATATTAGTTGCGGTGTCAATGTATTAGTTTGTTATTAGGTCCAGTTCAGGTCAATGACATTTGGTATGCAGTTGTATAAGCATTGTCACATATTATTTCCATGGAGATTATTTGACCCGCCCCCTCAGTCATGGTCTATTGACTTTGAAATTTTTGCTTAGTAAACATGTATTAGTTTGCAATTAGGTCAGTTTATGGGGAACAGCTAGTGGTAGGTCAATGATATTTGGTATGCACTTGTTTGAGCATTGTTACATATTATTTCCATGGAGCTTAATTTGCCCTGCTCCTTCACAGTCAAGGTTCATTGACTTGAATATTTTGCAAAGTTAACATGTTTAAATATTTTGCCATTTTGATTTCAACATTTGCATAATACTATAAAAAAATAATAAAACAAGACATATCTCTGTGTCAACAGTTTATTAACATAATCCATCCATGATCCAGAAATTTTTTGTGTCAAGGGATTCAATTTCATCATTGGCAACTTTTGGCCACAAAACATTTTGGATCCTAGGTTGCGGCCATGGGTTTCCTCAAGCTTTTTCGTTTGAAAAATGCACAAAATCTGATAATGCATGTATATCAAAATATGCTGACTTTCAAGCCTAGAACTTACTCTAATGAATAGATTTATTTAAACCGATAGTAAGGCTTTTGGAATAGATCCAATTAATAAACGAATTATGGCCATTTTGATATTTTATGATAAAGGTGAATTTCAAGGCCATATTTGGCCTAAAGTGAACCTTGTCCGTTACCAGATTTTATCTAAATTTCCTTAGGGATCTAGTTTTTGTCTTGCCTTGACGGAGTCAAAAAGCGAGACATAGGTATGCTGTTTCCGGCGTCGGCGGCGTCAACAATGTATTAGTTTGTGATTAGGTCTAGTTCATGGTGAACCACTAGTGGTAGGTCAATGATATTTGGTATGCAGTTGTATTAGCATTGGCACATCTCATTATCATGGAGATTATTTGGCCCCATCCCTCAGTCAAGGTCTATTGACTTTGAAAATTTTGCTAAGTTAACATGTATTAGTTTGTGATCAGGTCAGTTCAAGGGGAACCATTAGTGGAAGGCTAATGTTAATTGGTGTTCAGTTGTATAAGCATTAGCACATCTCATTTCCATGGAGAATATTTGGCCCCGCCCCCTCAGTCATGGTCTAATTACTTTTGCTTAGTTTACATGTATTAGTTTGTGATAAGATCAGTATAAGATGAACTGCTAATGTTAAGTCAATGATATTTGGTGTGCAAATTTATTGGCATTTGCAAGTATCGTTTCCATGGAAATTATATAGAACTACCCCTGATCATGGTTCATTGTCTTTGAAACTTTTACATAGTTTACAAGTTAATGTTTGTGTTAAGGTTTGTTTAAAGGGAACAACTTATAATAAGTCCATGGTATTTGGTATGCAGTTGTATTAGCATTGGCACATCTCATTCCATGGAGATCGTTTAGCCATGTACCTTCAGTCATGGTTCATCGACTTTGAATATTTGCATAACTTACATGTTAAAGTATTGCTATTTTAATTTCAACATTTGCATTATCAAAATTACAAAAAGGCGAGACATATCTCTGTGATAACAGTTTATTAAATTGTATCCATGGATTTGATCCATCAACAAACATGGCCACTTTTGCTTTAAAATGAACATAGGGTTAAAATTCAGTTTTTTGCTTAGATCCAAAATATTAAAGCAGTTAGCAAAACTGGCAGGGTATAAAACGGTCAGATTTATCTCTATGTAATTTTCAGAAAAATTAGACAATCCAGTTTCGAGTAATTGCGCTTAAGATGTATTTTTTTTGGTTATTATATTGGGTCAATATCGCTGCTGTTAGACTATCAGTCCCAAAGATATCATCAGCTCAGTAGTCAATACTTCGATACTGACATGATTTATTTCAAACCTTTCTTATATTGTCCGTTTATGAATTAAAAAATTATCAAGAAACTTAAGTTTAAACTCCCCCTGTTAAAGTTGACCTTAGAAGGATTTGGCTATTAATTTTAGGTAATTTTAGGTCATATAGCTCTTCAACTGTTTTGGTTATTATACATCATTGACTTTCAAATATTCAGCTTTGAGCGTTCCTGATGGAAGTAAATCCTGAAAAGCGCTTTGTACTTGTGAAATTTATAAGGTGTTGTTTTCATTTTTGTCGAGCCTGCGACTTTTGTCGCAAAAGCGAGACATAGCGATCCTACATTCCGTCGTCGTCGTCGGCGTCGGCGGCGGCGGCGTCCACAAATATTCACTCTGTGGTTAAAGTTTTTCAAATTTTAATAACTTTCTTAAACTATCCTGGATTTCTACCAAACTTGGACAGAAGCTTGTTTATGATCATAAGATAGTACCCAGAAGTAAATTTCGAAAAAAAATCCTGTTTATCCGTATTTTACTCATAAATGGACTTAGTTTTTCTGCCAGTTAACATTACATTCACTCTCTGGTTCAAGTTTTTCAAATTTTAATAACTTTCTTAAACTATCCTGGATTTGTACCTCAATAGTATTCAAAACCTTGTATTTTATTGCAGGACATTTCTTTTACAGAGATAAATGCCACACTGTGAACTATAAAAACAGACACCTCCTCCTAAAACATGGCGTCTAATAAACGATTGACATTTACAATTAAACGTACTTTAATCGCCTGTGGCATCTAATTTTTTTCTGATTATTAGAAAATTAAATAATGCATAACTGAGATATCTTATAGTTTTAAATAAAGTTTGACCCCTCTTCGGTAAATTTATAGCAATTAAGGAGAAAAAGTATATAATTCTCTTCCCAACCGAGTAACATTGCCTACAAAGTGGAGGGATACCCATGTATGCCGAAACTTTTTTAATCTTGAACTACATTTAGAATGATTTACTTAAAATAGATAATTTTCAAATTCATTATTAACTTTAAATGCAGCGCAAGTTTATAGTTTCCCATCTGAATATTTTTATCCGATTGCATCTTAGAATCCGCACCTATCCCCCTCCTACCCCTGTTTTGTGTTATATCAGGAAATTTTTGCAGTGTGCGTTGAAGTGATCCATAAAACGGTGTTTTACCATGATGGTGTATTTCTTGATTTGTTCCTAAGCATTCTGTTTCAAAGGAAATGTATCTAGTATATGCGAGTATATTTTACTTGGTGATATGGCACTGGTTCTATATTTTGCTGTTTTTTTTTTCTCTAAAAACAAATCCGATACCTCAATATCATAAGTAGTAGAACGGGTTTGATAGACGAAACACAATCTTTCTATAGTTTATAATTTGTGTTTGAGTTTTTCTTGTGAAGGTCAATCTGAGCATAGTAGAATGAATCTAGTGCACTTGGGTTTACACCTCAGAATTTGCAGTGTTGTACATTTCTGTTTCATATATACTAGTAAACTGGACCTCTGTTGTGTTCACTTATCGCTACACTTCGGTGCGGAGATTAAGATGGAATTGCGGACCAGTTTATTTCATATAATGTATAAGTAATCTTATGAAATATTTACATGTATTTAGACCTAGATAAATACAATTTGCATTTTCT